CCCCAAAAAAAATATTAGGCAGTTTTGCGTAAAAACCAGCAAGTTTCCTAAAAATCAGGTTTGCAAAAAAAACCAGGGAGTTTCGGAAAAAAGCGGTAGGTTTACAAAAATCCCCGTAATTTCCCCCCCCGAGGCAGCAGGTCCGTAAAGAATCCCAGCAACTCCCCGAAAAAGAGCAGCGAGAAAAACAGCGAGTTTGGGGGGAAAAAAACCAACAGGTTTGGGAAGGAAACCCGGCAAGTTCCGAAGAAACAGCGGATTTGCAAAAAAAGAAAAAAAACCACCCCACAAACACCCAAGTTTCCTCAAAAAAGGAGCCGGTTTCCAAAGCAAATCCAGCCCGATTCCTGAGGTAAGTCCCTGCTCGGCCAGGACCCACCGGTTGGGTTTTATTTCTCTTTTCAGGCCAAATCCTGCCGGGCCGATGGCCTTCCTGGTCCCGTCACCCCGTCAGACGTGAATTTAATGCCAGTAAATGTTTATCAGCCGTTAACAAGGGGTTTTTTTTTGCAACACGAACCGGCTTCAAGCCTCGTCCGGAGGAGCCGTGACCTTGTTCCTGATACAGATATATTTTTCCCAGCGTTATTTCTCTTTTTTTTTTGCCCAGGTTATTGCATTTTCCCCAGCGTTATCCCAACAGTTTGGCTGCCGGACGCCGATAAACGTCTGTCGGCGGAGCTGAGCTGAGCACCGGGGGCCATGGATGCGCGGCGCTGGAGGGGCGTCCCGCCTGGGAATATTTCCGACTGTCCCAACGGCTCCCGCTGGGTGATGGACGTGTTCAACGAATGCGCCCAGGACAGCCGGGACGTCGCCAGCATCGTCCTGGGGCTGGTTTCCATCTTCTGCTTCGCCGCCGCGTCTTTTCCGTAAGTATCGCTCCCAAATCCCCGGCCGAGCCCTTCCCTGGGTACAAGGCTCCTCTCTAAAAATCAACTCTCAAGCGCGAATTGCCTGAATTATTAAATCTACCAGGCAAAAGCAATCTGGGCTTGGAAAATTTGGGATTAACAGGAGGAGAGGGAGCAGGCAGTACAGCCCCAAAGCCTTGTTTGTTATTATATTGTTATTATCGTGCTTGGCAGCTGCAATAAACCACGTAAGCCAACTGCAACGCACTTGTCACAGGTCATACGTGCAGAAGGAATGTTTTCAGGAGCCCTGGGCTTCTCGGAAGTGCTGGGACAACGGTGGCAGAGGGGGACGTGGCGGGGGTCATCAGATTATTTCGTAACCAGAGAGGCGGTTTCCGCAGCTGGTGCTTCTCCTCGCTGCCTTCTGCCCCGGCTCGAGGGACGGATCACGAGGGCTTGAGCCCAGCGCATCGCTGCGAGCGCCCAACGGGTCACAGGACTTCTCACAGGGGCCGGGTTTGCAGGGGAGCGTGTGGTTTTACTAGAGGAAAGCTTTGCTTTTCCTCCCCTCGAGTGTGTTGGGAGGGTGCGGATTGCAAAATGACGCAGGTGGGAGCAACAGGGAAACTTGGGGATGGTTCCCCGGGTAGTGCTGACCCGGCTGGGGGTTAGGGGGTGTGACTCTGCCCACCTCCCCTTCTGCAGGCAGTTTTACCAAGCCTGCAAAACTGGCATCATGGACCGGGCTCTCTCCATCTATTTCCTGCTGGGATGGCTGGGCGGAGACCTCCTAAACCTCATCGGTTCCTTCCTGGCCGATCAGTTGCCGCTGCAGGTACTGACTGACTCGCTGGGGCTGGGTCGGCTCTCAGACACCCCAGGAGGAAGGATGGGATGGGATGGGATGGGATAGGAGCTGCTTGATCCAACACTGGGAACCGGAGACCCAAACAGCTCCGGGGATGCTCCCTTCTCCCCAGGGATGGGATGCGATGCTCTGCCCCGAGATGCTGGCTTATCCCAGCCACCAGCTGGAAGCCTTTCTACAGGTAGGACCAACCCATCCTTCTCCCTGCAGATTTACACGGCCGTTTACTACGTGCTCGCAGACCTGGTGATGCTGTCTCTCTATTGCTACTACAAAGTGAAGAACCGGAGCGGAGGAAGTGAGTTCCCCTTGGTGCATCTTTCAGTCTGGCTTGTCCTTGGCTGCGGAGCCAGGAGGGGAAGCAATCCCTGGGGGAGATGCGTCGGGGCAGAGATGCTTTGCAGACGCATTGATGCAGCTATTAGATTGCTCGCTGTTCTTTTTTTTTTTTTTTTTGAATAACCTGAGCACACATGAAAGCCGCAGCTAGCAAACAGCTACCGGCTGTGCCTGGGGCTTCTGCAAACCCCTGCAAACCACCACGCGTAGTGTCCGGATTGAAAATAACCCCCCTGTGAGTTGCATTAAGTATAGAAGGAAATGACTTACCCGCAGTTACGTGGTGACTCTGTCTCGGAGCTGGAAACCACAGCCAGATCTCCTGACTCAGGCCAGTGCTTTAAGGGAAGGGGTGAAGTTTTCCGGCTGTTTCGGGGTCAGTCCTCCTCTCACAGTTAATGGCAGCCTTGAGGTGATGGAGAAGTTGCTCCCTGTTCACATGGAGTAAAAAGGGAACCTGAACAGTTCTCACAAGGCTTAAACAGCAAGAGAAAACTCACTTTTTAGTGCAGCAGCCTTCTGTGAACTACAGACGGGCATCCCTCTGGACCCTGAAAACTATTTAACTTATTAAAGCCGTTCGACTCTGTTAAACTAATTGATACGTGGCCCATCAACTGTATCGTTATGTTAATGCTGGAGAGCTTATTGAACAGAATATCATCCAAGTCTTGCTGTCAAAGCAGGGCTTGGTCTGGCCGGGATTTGAATGTGCACTGTTGTGAGATAAGACAGTGAAAAGCTTCTAGATGCAAGGGGTGATTTTGAAGAGCCCTAAACCCAAAGAAACTCGAGTGCTCTCGCTCTGCAGAGATAGCAGCAGTTTCCTCCCTGATAACTTACAAATTGCCCGTATCGCTGTGAGATAAAGAGCCGGCGGCAGCTATTGCCTGAGTTACTTGGTGCTGGCTGTGCCACCACAGAGATAAGGGAGAGCTTGAAGGTCTCTTTGCCCGGAGCGGGTCCTGGCACCCACCGAGGCTGCTGGAGGAGCCCCCCCCCAACCAGCCTCTGCTTGATTCCCCAGTCGTCACCCCGATCAACGTGGCCTTCGTCTTCCTTTCCCTGGGGATGGTGTCGGCCGTCTCCTTCCTGGGCAGAGGTGCTGCCGTGGCGCAGGACCCGGTGACGTTTAAAGGGAGGTCTCTGCTGTCTGCTCGTGTGGATGAGCTGGGGTCGAAGGTGAGCCAGTTCCTAAATCCGGGTGATGGGGGGAGAGAGGATAAAGCGTCCGGTGGGGTGGGCATGTCCCGCTGGACCAGCGCGATCCCGCTTAGTGCTCAGCGGGGTGAGGAAGAGATGGGGAGATCGGAGGATGGGTTTTGGCCCCACTGTCGCCTCGCACGGAGCCGCAGCACGGGTGGTAAGGGCATCTCTGAGAACGTGGGGGCTGCTGGCGGCTCCCCCCTGCCTTGCAGCCCTTCACCAGGGACGGGAAGCTTCGCCAGCGGCTCCATCTCCTCCGTGCTGTACCTGTGCTCCCGGGTCCCCCAGATCTACACTAACGTAAGTGCTGCGCCGTGAGCTGGGCAGGGTGGTGGCCGGGTCCTGGGGACCCCCTGGGGTCCCGTGATTTCAAGTTGAAGAGGGGCAGTGGGATCATCTTTCTCCTCTTTGCTCAGAGATCCCAGGTCCCTGTCTCTGACCATTTCATAAGGGATTTTTTTCTGCATTTCCATGCTGAAACCTGATTCATTTTTCTCCCCTCCCTTTAACATACCAATATTTTGAGGGTGGGGCTTTCTTTTTGCCTTTATTTACAAGCAAAAGGGGAACTGAAAGGCTCTTGGCGTTGAGTCACCACCTTTTTTTCTTCTCTCTTTTTGAGGGTACATGTGATTAATACTGCTTTCTAGTGATATTTCAGAGAGCTGCATCCAAGCCCCTCTCTCTGGCCCCTCTTCTTCCAGTACAAGAGGAAATCCACCATCGGGGTTTCCTACTCCCTCTTTGCCCTGGTGATGCTGGGGAACTCGCTCTACGGCCTCAGCGTCCTCCTGAAGAACCCTGAGCCGGGACAAGGTGAAGGCGACTACGTCCTGCACCACCTCCCCTGGCTGGTGGGCAGCCTGGGCGTCCTTTCCCTCGACGTGGTTGTATCCTTTCCTCCCCAACGCTTCCCTCCGGGATCGCGTCCCGCCGGCAAGGCTTTGCAAGGAGCGATCCTGTCTCGGGCCAGGCAGGTTTAGGCTGGAGCGGGTGAGTTCATGCTACTCAGTGGTTGCTTCTGAGCTGCGTTTGCTCACCCGCCTGCTGGTGAGTAATTTATGGTGTTGCAACAGCTGAATGCTTCAGACCCTTGTTTGCATGAAGCTCGTTGCCCGGTTTTCACCTCTCCTGGCTCAAACAGCCTTTTAGATCCACCCTTGCTTGTGTGAAGAGCCTTAATCTCTTCTCAGATCTCCTTCCAGTTCCTCGCTTATCGGAGAGGAAAACCCAGTACCTGTGAGGAGAGGGACGCTCTT